ATCCAATTCTCGGCTAGACTGCCTCGCTTTACTTGTGTCGGCCAGGGGGGGGTGAGGATAAGAAGCCGATTTTTCGTACTTCGTTTGCTGAACAAGACTTTAGTGTATAGCGGAGAGGGTCTTTCCTTACTGGTCATAAGTGAAGTTTGCACCTTAGTAGAGATACCTTGCAGATGTAGGTGGCATTATTAGTAAATATGGCCAAATAAACAGTTTCATTGGGCGAACAGAAGTTACTAATGACTTATATTTGTTCCAGATATTTGCGGTGTTAAGCAGCGTTGGGCCCTGGGAAGGAACTTTAATGCACAGTTGGCTGTGGAAGCTGGTTTTTCAATGGCCAGTATCAGGTGTCAACGCACAGAAGCGTCTTCATATAGCGAGGATTCTATCGCTATCTAATCAGGATTTCGGTCTCCCTGCGTATTGGGCCATACCATGAATTTCAAAACGATTAAATGATTATGGAGTATGTATCGGGATAATTAAATGGAAATATCAATAGATATTGAGGCGTAGAAAAGCTTCCATCCGTCCCTTCAATTTCTGCTAAGTTCTTTAAACACCAGTTCTGCTGGCTATTCGAGTAGGGTGTTTCATAAACAATTACGGCGTTTAAGTACTGGCAAGTATCCTCACTGTCACAACGCATGTTGCTTGTCTAACATGCTTGGTTGAAAATGTCAGACTATGCTTCGATAAAATTTGTGTGCCAGGAAATGTGGTATTTAAAGGGATTTATGACCCGAATATTCCTCCACTATTGACCACTTGGGGTTTTCCACAGCATAATTTAAAAATGGTACGGGAGGAGAATGAATCTTGCATATAAATTTTTTACAGTGTCACAGTCAGTTTTTTGAGGAACGTTTCCCAGTTGAAATGGTTGACAAGATAACAGTAACTGTCACTTGAGATGAGTCCCTTTACTGGAAGGATAAAGGTTTTTCTAGGTCTTTTTAAGAGACCCTTTCAAAAGTGCAATAGACCGAAAGACTTTCTTCTTTAGCTTCTCTGTCATGTTCTCATTCGTTGATGTGCTTTCAAATATCAGTCAACTTGCAACGCATTGGTGATCTGCCAACGAAACAAGCAATTTTAACGAAGATTGAACACCGAAGAAAGCATCATTTGTGCTCCCAATATGGTAGTCCTCCAAACGTTAGTGTGCATATGCTTAATATATAGTTTGCATGAAAACCGACCATTTTATGAACATTTTCAGCAACTGCGTGGCGTTTAGGTGCCAGAAGGGACTCATAGATGGCCAGTTTTTCAGTTTTTGGGTTGGTGGCAAATGTTTACGAGCACTATCAGTCCAGTAGATCACTATCGTGCCGTGGATACCAACCATTACCGTAGCTCGACAGTGGTCAACTTACAAACCAAGTTAAGCTGGCAACTTAAGCGTATGTATTGCTAAACTGAGCAGCGCGGTGGCATAAAAGAGGCAGCAGTTGAGATACCACGGAGTGTACTGCAAATGTGTTGACGTTGTTGCCCAGGTTGACAACCAATCACTACTTATTCATTCCCAGTAGATTAGTAAACAGATTTCCCCACCTACTCAGACGCACTATTTACTTGGGCAAAATAGGAGCATAAAATGCCGTTACTTAGCACACTGCTACTCTTTACTCTGTGTTAGACGCTTCTTCAACAAATGGACTATAAAATAAGGGGATGAGGATAAAGCAACAGCCACATGATGACAGGTATGTTTAATTTCCTTTAAACGTAAATACCAAGGACAATCCTCCATACGATAATGAGAAGGGTGCTACACAGGGCATGGAAGTAGCAGAGTCACTAACAGACCAGCCTAATTGCAATGCACTGGGACGAGGAATTAAGTGATTTCTCAAAGAAAAACATAATCTGCTATATGCCAATACCTAATTTTTAAGAAGTTTGAGTGAAAAAGACTTACCCTCCACAACTACCAGTTGAGGAAGATACTTTGAGACAGCCACACTGAGTTTGTCGAGGACTTTTGAAAAGTTCGGTATGAATTGAACATTCAGTATGGTTTGCGTCTTCAGTTGATCCTCCTCGTCTTCAGTATGCCAAGCCGAGGTGTGTTTCGGGGAGCCACCGTCTGTGGAACATTCAATGATGCTCTTGTGGTGAGAATTCTGAACAATAAGAGAGACCTGGCCCTTTGAGGTCAGAGTTGAGGCTTCGAAGGGTAAGCTCTTGACGTCATCTAGAAAAAAAGATCGAATCAACCTGAGATTTTCACATTGACCAGTAAAGTGTCTGCTGCGATGTGGTTTTCATGGAAGAGTTGCTCGGAGTAAGAATACTGAGTAATATTTACTTTCTCTTCGAATTTGCTCACTTAATCCGATGTCAGTTAAAACTAGCAGCAAAATTCATTCACTTTTTCTAACTTTTTAAACATATCCTCCACAGAATGTATCATCTTTAGTTAATAAGATCCCGTCAATCAAATCTTGACAGACTGCCATAAATGCTGACTTGAAATTGTCAGAACTGGATGGACTTTGGAATGTCGTGAGTGTCGGCGATCACAAGATGGCAATTCCTACTGAGGTCCATCTTTTTCCTTCGTTAGTTGCTCCTATAATATACGTTACAAGGAAATGTTTAGAATGAGGTTGTATTTCGTAAGGCGGAACAAATAATTTACACCAGCGTTTATATGGACATTGGTCTCAGTTTAGTTCATACGTAACTGAAAGCCTACTTTCCATTAATGTTTCTAGGCACCGGAGGCTAGGACTTTCATAGTTGTCCTACACATAGGCGATGGCGAATAACTGTTTGGTCAAAGTTGACAAAAAATGTTTCTTCCAAGCGCATCTTCTCACATCTTCTTGAAAATATTCGCGAAGAAAGATTAAACGCTTCTACCGGTTATGTTTTTTTGAAAGGCGACAGACGTTTTTAATTAGTTTAAAACCGCAAAAACACTTGGCCACCATAGTCCTTGAGGCGAACAGGATAGTTGGTTGATATGAAATGACTGTCGGAAAATCGCGAAATAATGAGCCACGTTTGGTTTAATGGAATACGTTTTAGAGAGAAAGAAGAGACCGAAAGTTACTAAAATGTAGATTTTTTGCAAGGTAACTCTCAAGAAGACACAGTTTTCTATCAACGCGCTTTGTGACACATCTTATGTTTACTCGTTCTGCCTGTACCTTTATTTAAAAATCAAAGGAAATTAAAATGTTAAACCGCATAGATAAAAACCTTGGTCGAAATGAGGTTATCTCTACTAGTTAGCTAACAGATAATAAAAAACGAGCCTGGGTGTTGTAAATTAGTCAAGTTAGCTCCGCCTCCCTAGTAGTGTATAATGCATTTTAAAAAATCTGCTTGCCTCTTGAATCTGCGTTTGTATAATGTTTCCTAGCGGTAACGGAACTATATTGCATGCCGGAGCTAAAGAGGGCATGACGGTTGATGAAAGGGACTTGACTACTAAAACTGCATCAATGACCCACTAAGAACTCTGCCGCCTCATGTCTGCTCCCTGCAAGCAAGTTTCCCGACAAGCAAGGCAAGACTGTAGTCCTTGATTAATATGATTTAGGGGCATGCAAGTTTGCTTGGATGTGCGGCTGTTGTATTAGAATGGAACGATAAACTTCATTATCGCCCAAGACGGGCTAATGAAAGCAAAACAGTTGTTATAAGGCTGCCAGATATTTATCGTTCATTTTTCGGCCGTCATTGGCTTGTTTTCTTTCAAAAACACTTTTTTTTCAATTATGGCGACAGAATTTTATAAGTACTTTATCTGTTAGGCATAAAACACTCTGGTAGAGGGCATTAGTCAGATTCCGAAACAAACGGGCTGAGACGACACCATATGCATTTCGGGCTTTCAGCCCTGTTTAGGATTTTTAAATTCAGCGAAATTGCTGTCGTATACATATAGCTAAAGTTGCACTTTGCATGCACGTTGATTGTCGCCTTCCGGGAGGTTGTTGGTTAGAATCGCATCTAATTACCAGGGTTCCGTAAATTACTGGTTTTGTTTGAAAAGGGTAAAAACTGTCGCAAGTAAAATGCGGATTCAACTAGAAACGCAGTTGTGCGAAACTCACTGGATTCGGTGAGATTGGATTCGCAGATACTTCAAAACAAACACGGAAACATATGGAAGACGTATCCATATAAAGAATCAGTATAACTTATTAAGGGCAAAAATGTTATCTTTCTGTTTCGCGAAGAGGTAAGGATCACAAACCTTACCCTCTAACCGTCTTAGCCATACAGCATTTTCCTGGTCTGAAGCATTATAAACAGTCTTATTTGGCTTCACGGGAGCTTGAACCTCTGCATGAAGTCTACATGCATACTTGTAGAGAACATCAGTTCTGAAAGTAATTTATCCTCACGAAAAAACGAGAGCCGAGAGCGCTTGGAGTGGGAGGAATTGAGAAGGCGAATTGGTGACCCGTATACGTTTTTGCTAATTTCTTATCAGGTTGCCGAAATAAGATGGTAAATTCGAGTCTGTGTCAACGATGCATCCTAGAACAGAAGGTTAACCAAAGAGGAAGAGAACTATTCCCGATCACTCATCCCTGTGAAACACCACGGTGGAAGTTTGGTAATCACAAGAAGGGTTTAATATTTTTCTAGAAGTTAAACTCCGGAGTCGTCCAAAACAGTATACCAAGAGCTGGACAATCGCTAAGTTGTACACTGTCATCAAACAGTTGCGAAAAAATTCCCAGTTGGAGGAGCACGAAATTTGAACTCAAACCAAAAAGAATATTCCACTCGTCAAGAATCTTATTCATGTGCTTCCCCGTGTCGATCGATTGATGGGAATGTGACTGACTGACGATGACCAAAAGGCCATAAACGACTATTCTAATTTCTTGTCATTTGTAGGGACACTGATTTCTCTACGCTCAGGGCGAAATACATGCATGTGATCAGGGGCCTGTGGTTAAGCAGACATAGATATTTAATGGCCATTGGAGAGTACTGAATAGGTGTGCAATGCCACAGACCGACTTTCTTCATGACTGCGCTGTGCGCTAGAAGTCCAAAGACAGTATGACAAGATTTATGTCAAGTCTAAGCACATATAACTCACATAAATAAACTCCTTAACATAACGAGGGGTTAACAAAGTTTCATTCCTGTATGTTGGTCACCAAAGCGGGAAGCGCAACTGAAATCCACTGTCTGTCGGTGAATAGGCGTGTGACAACGAGTGACATACCAACTGCCGCTTCAAAGTCAATTCCCAGCTTTTTATCGGGGAATCAGGGTCCCGCATGAAGAGAAGTGTGAATAGCAATAAGGCTTGTGAAGCACGACTGACAACATGTTTGTCAGATTAGCGTGTCTGGTTAATTTTACTACGGCGCAAATTCTGCACCAGCTAAGCTGAATGGGTAACGGTGTTTGATTATGTAGCGAAAATGATAACGCTTTATCTTACATGCAGATCGGAATGATGGCCTTGATAGATTTGACGTCCAACCGGGTTTTTAGGCGCCTATTACAATTCTGGAACGTAGGAAAATACAGCGAGTGGATACAACTCTCGGTACCACTAGTTCAATATAATTCTAGACCGAAGAACATTACTTACAAAGTCAAGGGAGACTAGAATGACCATCGATGTAGCGATTCACCGCTCTACGTCACTAATTCAATATCGGTTTTTTGGCTCACAGTCAACCTACTGCAGTGTTTTAGAAAAGATCAAGTAGCATGGGGACACACTTAAGTCGAAATAGAATGTACTTCTGATCACTGCATGCGGTCTCCTCGACTCGTTACTGGCAGTGGAAAACGCAAAATCAGGATTAGATGTGACTAATGTCCTGCACATTACCATCTCTAAGGTTTAGCTTAGGCTTACGGCTAAACCGAACGTAGGGATTGAAAGCAAAATGAACCTCACGACGAACAGGCCGAAAGAGAAGGCAAGACCACCAGGGCCCTCTACAGTGGAGACAAGGCGCTATACTCATTGCTGTTTATGACCCCGAATGACCGCCAACTTCACTGACATTTAATTAGCCTATGCTACTATAATTCCCCCCGTCCTTTTTGATTGCTGTTTCTTACCCCTTGATGATCTGTTGACCTCTGACAGTTGATTGGCCAATGTCCACTATAGTTACACTCCTTTTGGTTGCTGCTTCTTATCTCTGAAAATGAAGTCCTGTTAGAGTTCGAAGGCTAAGGACAATAAGCCAATTTACCCGGTGCTCGGCAAGCCTTCTTTCTTACCCATAGGTCATTATACCGCCTGTACATCGTTTAGGCTCCAGTAATCCTTGTTCAGGCATTTTCTTCAGTTAAACGTACCTGCACGATGTATCGATGTACCAATCAAAAATATTACTAAGCGTGGATTGGAACTCACCAAAACGGCTTATTTCAGAGCAGACTCTTTCTGCATTCGCCTCTGAATCGCCGCTGAGGAAACTGTAGTTTGTTGTTGCTACATCGGTAGATAGAGAAGAAAGAGCCGGCTTGCAACTCAGATGACGCCATTTGAGTGCGATTGGTGGATTTGCAGGACCCGCTCTGCATATCAGAGTGATCATTTCACCAGCGACCACGGCGATCGATCGGGGTGAAGCTGGGAAACGTTGACCTTCGCTGTCAAGGGGGCGTCCTGCTTCGCCGCTAACGCTGGGAGTTGTAACCAATTCCTGATCCGCTGGTCGGTTCGGTTGCGTGAACTTGCCAGAACCCTGCACTCGATGGATGGCAATATGCTTGGGACGGAAAGTTATGTTAACGTGGAAGGGTTCGCTCCTGCGTTGGTCACTGGCCGGAAAGCCGGGATTCGTTGCAAGGCATCTTTAAAAGACATAACCAAGGGTAATTAATGCACAAAGCGAATCCATTTTTCGAAAGATAACGGTGCGATAAGAAAGGTCAATTCTCCCCTATTCTTGTCATTAATGATGCAAACCTATGAATGGGCACAAGGCAATTGCCGAGGCACTTTAAGAGCGGGCAGGGGTGGGGTCTGAAGAGGACGCAGCAACAGGTGCTACCGGTAGTCTGGCAGACGCAGTGTGTCGATAAACTCGCTTTTGATGTCCTGTCGGCCAGAAAGCAAAAGGACACTTTTATCGCA